CTCAGGATGGTAGAATGCATGACCTTCACACTGTGGACAGAAGATAAAGCTAATCCAAATGGTCCTGGGACGTCCTAAGTCCTTCAGAATCTCAAACAGTTCAGCCCGACACTGTGCAAGTATCTGTGGTTGACAGATTCCCCTAGATTGCAAACTCTCCTGAGGGACAGGATACAGCTCTTTATTTAAACTGGGCAGTGCAGAAGTGTGTCGCAGCATCTTCTCCATGATAGCCATGGAGAGAAGGTTTCCACACACGCTGAAGGACTTGAGCTGGAAGCAATGGCTCAGGGCAGGCAGGATGGCTTCAAGATGCAAGTCCCTAATCCCACACATGTTTAAGTCCAGTTTTTCAAGTGTGCCTGCAACTTTCTCCAGGAGAACTGAGAGGAGCTCAGCATTGGAGTGTGTCAGGAGGTCACCACTCAGATCCAGGCCCTTTAGCTGACTAATGTTTGGACATTGGGACAGATGGGTCAAGTCTGAATCCATAAGGAGAGAGTAAGTTATAGCAAGGTTATCCAAGGGAGTCATCAGGCACCTGGGGAGAAAAAATAGCTGTCNTAATGTTTGGACATTGGGACAGATGGGTCAAGTCTGAATCCATAAGGAGAGAGTAAGTTATAGCAAGGTTATCCAAGGGAGTCATCAGGCACCTGGGGAGAAAAAATAGCTGTCTTTTCTAATCTGGAGTGGACTGTGACCTCAAATTGGGAGATAACAGACCTGTCCAAGGCCAAGTGTGGTCTGACCATCAGATAATGATCAAACCGAGAATGCCCAGTTTTATTTCAGCCAGAATCATTTCATCTTCCTTGTGTGACTGGATTAAATACATACAATCTCAAATACTCTCTTTTCTGAAGTGTCAAGCCCAGTAAAACATATTCCACTTCATTATGAGTATGAATGGAGGTAATGGAATAGACTAAAACAAATTCAGGAGAGCCTGACATCTTGTTGCAATCAAGTATGTGCTGTGCCGTGCTTAGTTGCAGTCATGTCTGACTCTTTGTGACCACATAGATTGTAGCCTGCCAGGCTCCTCGGTCCATGGGGATTCTCCAGGCAGGAATACTGTGGTGGAGATTCTCTCCAGAGGATCTTCCCAACCCAGGGATCGAACCCAGGTCTCCCACATTGCAGGCAGATTCATTACCATCTGAGCCACCAAGGAAGCCCCAATAAAGTATGGGCATCACTGAATTTTGGTCGTAAGAGACATACTTAGGGGGCGGTCCTAAGATGGCGGAGGAATAGGACAGGGAGGCCACTTTCTCCCCCACAAGTTCATCAAAAGATCATTTGAATGCTGAGCAATTTGCACAAACCAACTTCTGAATGCTGGCGGAGGACACCAGGCACCCAGAAAGGCAGCCCATTCTCTTTGAAAGGAGGTAGGACAAAATATAAAAGACAAAAAGAGACAAAAGAGTTAGGGATGGAGACCTATCCCAGGGAGGGAGTCGTGAAGGAGGAGAAGTTTCCGAACACCAGGAAACCCTCTCACTGGCAGGTCTGTGGGGAGTTTTGGAATCTCAAAGGACAGCATAACCGGGGGGGGGGGGGGGGGAACCCCACAGAATATGCACCTAACTGCAACTCCCAGCAGAGAAGTAGCCCAGTACCACTGGGCTACACTGGTAGCCCCCGCTACCAGTGAGTGGGGGCTGAACAGGGAGGCGTGTGGATTGCGTGCTTAGGGTAAGTATTGGGCCTGAATGCCCTGAGGATAAACTGAGGGAGCTAACTTGAGATAGCAACCCAAACCGTGGGATAGCCAGAGACAGAAAAAAAGAGAGAGTACATTCCCTTGAAAAGTTCTAACCTAAGGTGCAGCCTGGCCCACTCACAGAACAAAGGACTGAGCGAACACCAAAGGAGAGCTAGCCAAGTGTGGACCGGTCCATCCCCACACCAGAGGAAGAGAGGCAGGCAGGCGACAGCCAGAGCCGGAAGACAAGGGGCAATTTCAGCCCCAGAGATGGCATCCTGCACCAAACTGTGAGCAGGCTCCCAGTTGCTAACCAAGTCTTCCTGGGATCCTGGATGGTTGACATCTGCCAGGAGGGTAGCAGCCAGAGATCAGCTCCCCAGAGGAGACACATGGCAGACCTGAGATGGTGCTCTTGCAGTGCACCCAGGACACTGAGCAGCCGGGACCAGCCGGGAGGTGATTAAGACATACTGGCCACCCGGGACAGTGCACTCACCAAGCATCTGGTCGCCTGAGCTGCTCAGACCTGGGAAGGGCACGAATCGCACACCCAACTGAGTCTGTGCCTTTGTGGTGTACCTGATAACCTGAACCTGAGCAGCTTAGACCTCAGAAGTGCACAAAACCCAGGGCCCACTTAGGACAGTTCCCCTATAGAGCAACCTGGAGCCTGAGCAGTGTAGACTGGGAAAGCACATGCTGTGGTGAGCTGAGGCAAGCCCTGTGGTCCCTACGCTGCAAGCATTCCCCACACACGCCAGTGATATTTGTTTACAGAGTTCCTCCCTCCCCACACCCCAACTGAACAAGTGAGCCTAATTAAATGACCGCCTTCGCCCCCTTGTGCCAGGGTGGAAATTAGAAACTGAAGAGACTTGCAAACAGAGGAAGCCAAAATAAACAAAGAAGATAGAACCACCCTGGAAGTGACAGGTGCAACAGATTAAAACCCTGTAGTTAGCATTGACTAAGCATTGGAAGGGTCCTATAGAACTTGAGAAAAAGTATAAGCTGGAACAAGGAACTATCTGAAACTAAACTGACTCCACACTGCCCTCAACAGCTCCAGAGAAATTCCTAGATACAGTTTCACCATTATCATTTTTTAATTTTTTAGTTCTTTATTACTCATTTAATTTTATTTTTTATAACCTATTATTACTTTGCAAAAAAAATACCCTATTTTTAAAGCAAATTTCATATATATATTTATATATATTTTAAAATTTTTGTAGTTGATTTTGTATTTTTAATATTGTATCTTTTAAAGTCTAACATCTACTATAGATTTTTAATCTTTGCTTTTTGGTATTTTTTATCAATTTTGTACCTTTAAGAATCTAATCTTCAATACCCATTTTTACTTAGGGGTATGATCCCTGAATTGGTTGCTCTCTCCCCTTTTGACTCTCCCTTTTCTCCCCCAGGTCACCTCTGTCTCCTCCCTCCCCCTTCTCTTCTCTACTTAACTCTGTGAATCTCTCTGGGTGTTCTGGGCTGTGGAGAACACTTAGGGAACTGATTACTGGCTAGAGTGGTCTCTCCCCTTTTGACTCCGCCTCTTCTCCTCCTGATCACCTCTATCTCCCTCCTTCCTCTTCTCTTCTCCATGTAACTCTGTGAACCTCTCTGGGTGTCCCTCACTGTGGGGAATCTTTGCACCATTAACCTAGATGTTTTATCATCTCTGCGTATAGATGGAGCAGTCTTGAGGCTACTGTAAGAATAAGACTGAAAGCCAGAGGCAGGAGGCTTAAATCCAAAATGTGACAACACCAGAAAACTCCTGGGACTCCAGAGAACATTAATTGACAAGAGCTCATCCAAAAGCCTCCTTACCTACGCTGAAACCAAGCTCCACTCAAGGGCCAACAAGTTCCAGAGCAGGACAGCGCCATGCTAATTCTCCAGCAATGAGGAAACAGAGCCCGGAGCATTAAAATACAGGCTGCCCAAAGTCACACCAAAGACATAGACACCTCAAAACTCACTACTGGACACTTCACTGCATTCCAGAGAAAAGAGATCCAGCTCCTCCCACCAGAACACCAACACAAGCTTCCCTAAATGGGAAACCTTGACAAGCCACTAGCCCAACTCCACCCACAGGGAGCAACCTCCACAATTAAGAGGAACCACAAACTTCCAGCATACAGAAAGGCCACCCCAAACACAGCAATCTAAACAAAATGAAAAGGCAGAGGAATATTCAGCAGGTAAAGGAACACGATAAATGCCCACCAAACCAAACAAAAGAGGAGGCGATAGGGACTCTACCTGAAAAGAATTCAGAATAATGATAGTAAAGATGACCCAAAATCTTGAAAACAAAATGGAGTTACGGGTAAATAGATTAAAGGACTGAGAAGATACAAGAAATGTTTAACAAGGACCTAGAAGAAATAAAAAAAGAGTCAATCAATAATGAATAATGCAATAACTGAATTCAAAAGCACTCTGGAGGGAACCAACAATAGAATAGGTTAGACAGAAGATAGGATAAGTGAAGTGGAAGATAGAATGGTGTAAATAAAGGAAACAGAGAGGAAAAAAGAACTAGAAGAAATAAGGACAACCTCAGAGACCTCTGGGACAATGGTAAATGCCCCAACATTCGAATCATAGGAGTCCCAGAAGAAGAAGACAAAAAGAAAGGTCATGAGAAAACACTTGAGGAGATAACAGTTGATAACTTCCCTTGAATGGGGGAAGGAAGTAGCCACCCAAGTCCAAGAGACCCAGAGAGTCCCAAACAGGATAAATCCAAGGCAAAACACCCCAAGACACATAATAATAAAATTAATGAAGAACAAACACAAAGAGAAAATACTAAAAGCAGCAAGGGAAAAGCAACAAATAACACACAAGGGGATTCCCATAAGGATAACAGCTGATCTTTCAACAGAAACTCTTCAGGCCAGAAGGGAATAGCAGGACACACTCAAAGTGATGAAAGAGAAAAACCTACAACCCAGATTACTGCACCCAGCAAGGATCTCATTCAAATATGAAGGAGAAATAAAAAGCTTTACAGACAAGCAAAAGCTGAGAGAATTCAGCACCACCAAACCAGCTCTTCAACAAATGCTAAAGAATCTTCTCTAGACAGGAAACACAGAAAAGGTGTATAAATTCAAACCCAAAACAACAAAGTAAGTGACAATGGGATCATACTTATCAATAATTACCTTAAATGTAAATGGGTTGAATGCCCAAGAAAAAGACAAAGCCTGGCTGAATGGATACAAAAACAAGATCCCTGTATATGCTGTATACAAGAGACTCACCTAAAAACAAGGGACACATACAGAAATTGAAGGGCTAGGAAAAGATATTTCCTAATGGAGACCAAAAGAAAGCAGGAGTAGCAATACTCATATCAGATAAAATAGACTTTGAAATAAAAATTGTGAAAAGAGACAAAGAAGAACACTACATAATGATCAAAGGATCAATCCAAGAAGAAGATATAGCAGTTATAAATATATATGCACCAACATAGGAGTACTGCAATATGTAAGGCAAATACTAACAAGTATGAAAGGGGAAATTAACAATAATGCAATAATAGTGGAAGACTTTAATACCCCACTCACACCTATGAATAGATCAACTAAAATAATTTCACAGTTTGTATGGAAATACAAAAAAAACTCAAATAGCCAAAGCAATCTTGAGAAAGAAGAATGGAAATGAAGGAATCAACCTGTCTGACTTCAGCCTATACTACAAAACTACAGTCATAAGACAGTATGGTACTAGCACAAAGACAGAAATATAGATTAATGGAACAAAATAGAAAGCCCAGAGATAAATCCACACACCTATGGACACTTTTTCTTTGACAAAGGAGGCATGAATATACAATGGAAAAAAGACAATCTCTTGAACAAGTGGTGCTGGGAAAACTGGTCAACCACTTGTAAAAGAATGAAACTAGAACACTCTCTAACACCATACACAAAAATAAAATCAAAATAGATTAAAGATCTAAATGTAACATGAGAAACTACAAAACTCCTACAGGAAAACATAGACAAAACACTCTGACATAAATCACAGCAGAATCTTCTATGACCTACCTCCCAGAGTAATGGAAATAAAAGCAAAAATAAACAAATGGGACCTAATTAAACTTAAAAGGTTTTGCACAATGAAGGAAGCTATAAGCAAGGTGAAAAGACTGCCTTCAGAATGGGAGAAAATAATAGCAAATGAAGCAACTGACAAAGAATTAATCTCCAAAATACACAAGCAGCTCCTGCAATTCAATTCCAGAAAAATAAACGACTGAGTCAAAAAGTGGGCCGAAGAACTAAACAGACATTTCTCCAAAGAAGACATACAGATGGATAACAAACATATGAAAGGATGCTCAACATCACTCATTGTCAGAGAAATGCAAATCAAAACCACAATAAGGTTCCATCTCACGCCTGTCAGAATGACTGCTATCAAAAAGTCTACAAGCAATAAATGCTGGAAAGGCTGTGGAGAAAAGGGAACTCTTACTGTGTTGGTGGGAATGCAAACTAGTACAGCCACTATGGAAAACAGTGTGGCTGTTTTATTCTGTTTATTCTGTTTCATTTATTTCTTAAATAAATGAAAATAGAACTGCCATATGATCCAGCAATCCCACTGCTGGGCATACACACCGAGGAAACCAGAATTAAGAGACCTGTGTACCCCAATGTTCATCACAGCACTGTTTACAATAGCTAGGACATGGAAGCAACCTAGATGTCCATTGGCAGACAAATGGATAAGAAAATGGTTGTACATAGACACAATGGAATATTACTCAGCTCTTAAAAAGAATGCATTTGAATCAGTTCTAGTGAGGTGGATGAAACTGGAGCCTATTATACAGAGTGAAGTAAGTCGAAAGAAAAACACCAATACAGCATATTAATGCATATGAATGGAATTTAGAAAGATGGTAATGATGAACCTATATGTGAGACAATAAAAGAGACACAGATGCAAAGAACAGACTTTTGGATTCTGTGGGAGAAGGCAAGGGTGGGATGATTTGAGAGAATAGCAATGAAACATGTATATTACCATATGTGAAATAGATAGCCAGTCCAGGTTAGATGCATGAGACAGGATACTCAGGGCTGGTGCACTGGGATGATAGGACAGGGAGGGAGGTGGTAGGGGAATTCAGGATGGGGAACACAGGTACACCCATGGCTGATTCATGTCAATGTATGGCAAAAACCACTAGAATATTGTAAAGTAATTAGCCTCCAATTAATATAACTAAATTAATTTTTTTAAGAGACTTAAAGTGCTTCTTATTCAAGCTTACTTAGGCACATGATTTGACCTGAGGCAGTCTTATCTCGGCCTTCCCAGGTGGCTCAGTGGGTAAAGAATCTGCCTGCAGTGCAGGAGTCATAAGAGAGGTGAATTCAATCCCTGGGTTGGGAAGATCCTCTGGAGAAGGGCATGGCAACCCACCCCATATTCAGGCCTGGAGAATCCCATGGATAGAGGAGCCTGGCAGACTATAGTCCATAGTGTTTTAAAGAGTCAGGCGCAACTGAAGTGACTGAGCATGCACACACACCCTTATCTCAAGTCATCTGGGTGATATGCATAGAGGATCAATTTGGGGAAGATCCGACAACATCCATTGGAAATAACAGTCTGCAGTGACTCACTTACATCCCTACATTATTTGCAAGCCACCTACAAATTTTTAAGATCTCTTTGACTCCTGCTCTATTACCATCATCTCCAGAATCATGCATTTACTATATGTTAAATACCTTATCTGGATAAAAAGATAACCTGTTACAGACTTGGAATTTAAGACAGGCTCCTTGCGGTCACAAAACTGGAGAGCATGGAGCTTTCATTAAATACTCAGGACTGATGGAGATTTCCCTTTTCAAAGTCCCTCTTCCTTTACCTATTTTTCCAAAGTCGTCTAGGAAAGATATCTCTTCCTAGTAGAGAAATTGTGCTGTGCTCAGTCGCTTCAGTCGTGTCCAACTCTTTGCAACCTATGGACTATAGCCTGCCAGGCTCCTCTGCCCATGGCATTCTCCATGCAAGGATACTGGAGTGGGTTGTCATGCACTGCAGGCAGGTTCTATACCCACTGAGCCACCTGGGAAGCCCAGTGAAGAAGTTACATACCTACTACCTCTACATCCTAACACTTGGTCTGTATCTTCCTAGAAGAGTGGCCCTTTCCATATCCTTCATCCTAGTTTGGGCCACTACCTTGATTTGGGTGGTTATATGATATCACAGTTCAGGATAGAGTAGCAAAGGGAGGCGCGCTTTTGACATTCTAGCATTGGGTACACTGCTCCCAGGCCAGGGGTGCGCACTCACCTGAGCATCTGGATCAGGCAGCCTTCAAGGAAGGAGGGAGTCTCCAAATACAGATCCCGGAGGTGGTACAACTTGCGGAACTGAGAGGTAATTTGGACAACATGGTAATACTCTTCCTCCTCTTCAAATGCTAGCCCATGGATGTGGGAGAGATGGAGTCTCTGTATATTACTCATTTGGCCCAAGAAAGGAGCAAACATGGCTAGAGTGGACAGATGCCAAATGCAATTCACTTCCACTTCCTGAATATAGTCCAGTTGCACTATACCCAGGACCTGCATAATATTTTCTAAGGATATTGAAGTGATCTTCAGCTTAGTAGAGCACAGGTGTATGGAGGTTTTTCTCTGCTCCACCCACCTCATGAGGTAGATGAAGTCATCTGTGGTACTTTCCTTGAAGTGCAGTTCTATGAACACCTCTAAAGGAGCCAAGGGCTGCTCTGTCCTTGACCTGACCTCAGCCACTGGTGTCATTGATGAGCTTGAGGATACATGGACACTTGATCCAGACCACATTTTCCAGAAGTCCTGGCCAGTATTCCTTAAATCCAGCACCCGCAGTTTGCACCTCCTGTGGGAAACAGGAGATTAGCTGTTTGAATGAAACCACAGAATGAAACTACAGACTTAGAATTGAGGCTACACTCTGACTTCCCACCTGAGATTATACTTGACATTCCTACAGCCTTGCCCTCTTCTTTCCTCTCTGCCTCACCTTTCTGCTTTTCCCCTTCCAACCTTCCTCAGTCTCTGCTTCTAGTACCCATAACCATAACTAGAAGGCTGTCAGGCATGTTCTTTTAGGTTTCCTGGCATCTTAGGCACTCTCACTGCCAGAAGGCATTTCCCCAAAGTGAGCTCAGCAATAGCCAAGGACTCTGAGAGTCTTCATTGGATTCAAAAGTCTCTGGTCCATCCTTTGACCATTTACTCTCTTGACCCCAAGTGTTTCTTCATGATGTCTAGCAACCTACTAGACTACCTGGATTAGACTTACTTGGAATGTTTTTTCTGGGCAAGCAGGATATCAAGACCATCCAGAACTGCTTGTAAGGTCCCCATGTGAGGCTTTTGCATCAGGCCCCCCAGAGGCAGACGGACAAAGGGCCAGGCACACACCATGGCCTTCAGGGTCTCACTTCGACTCCCACGGAAGGCTTCCATGAAGAGTGTGGGGAAGAGTTCGATGGGCAGATACTCCAGAGCAGTGATGGCTGAGGCCTCATCCCTCAGCAGGCTCACTGCTGCCAGGTTCAAGAGTCTGGGTCGGGTCTGGAGACTCATCCTGACTTGGTTCCAAAAGGAATCCTGTGGGTACTTCCAAGGAACAAGACATTCTTTTCAGGCCAATCAGGAGCACACTTCAGTTTGTTTCTCCCCACCCTTGAGAGGAAACTACTCAGGGCCAAGGCCACTGCTCTAGTGGTAGTGGAATTGTTACAGGGAAGAGCCAATTCTCTCTCCAAAATGGATCTTGCTCTTTGACTTGAATCTGTTGCTTTTGTTATTATAATCATACATAATGGCCTGCCTCAGGGAACCCTGGCCCTCTGCCAGAAGACTAAACTAAAAGCATCTTTTTTCAGCTCACAGGGAGATAATTTGCCCCTGCCCAACTGTGAATGACACAAGAATGAAGAGATTAACACACCCCTTCCCCAAGGATGGACATTCCAGGAGATACTTGCAAGATATTATTGCCTTTCTACTTTACTTCCTCAACTCCTCCTCCTGTCTGTTCTATAAAAGAATCTGGCACCCAGCCTCTAACAAGGTGGTTATTTTGAGACATTAGTTTGCCATCTTCTTGATCAGGCTGTTTTCTGAATAGAAGTCATATTCCTTGCCTCAACACCTAGTCCCTCATCTCTTGAATTCATTGGCCTGTTGTGGTAGTGAGCAGACCAGGCTTGGGCCTGGTGACAGAAGTGCCTTAGTGCCAGTTGCCTGTCACAAGTAGAGGGGGGAAAATGCAACCACTGATTCATCCATCCACTGCTTTGCTTAATAATGTTCCACTGGGAAGTAGTTACTGGGAGCTGGAGGCTGAGCTTCATCCTTTCAGAAGAAAATGCTTAAAATTATCACTTAGAGCCTTAAAAGTATGGGAATAAGAGCATCATGTGGACCAACACAGCTTCCATCTTGAGTTCCCACAGTTAACTGAGATGGGAAAGGTCAGGAGATACCCCTAAAATGAATGCTGTTTATGTACAAATTAAATATTTTAAATTTCAGAAAATAAAATTCCAAACAAACATCTTTCATTAAAAGAGGCATCTGCTTGATTGCTACTGCTGCTAAGTCACTTCAGTCGTGTTCGACTCTGTGCAACCCCATCCCTGGGATTCTCCAGGCAAGAACACTGGAGTGGGTTGCCATTTTCTTCTCCAATGCATAAAAGTGAAAGTGAAAGTGAAGTCGCTCAGTCATGTCCGACTCTTCGCGACCCCATGGACTGCAGCCTACCAGGCTCCTTCATCCATGGGATTTTCCAGGCAAGAGTACTGGAGTGGGGTGCCATTGCCTTCTCCATCTGCTTGATTAAGACATTTAAAAAATGATATAAGCCAAAGCACTAATCCAAATATTTGGGATTAAGTCTAAACTACTTTAGAGGCCAAACCAAAACCTTAAATGAGTACATCTTGAAATATACTTTTATTCATTTATTTTTATTTACTCATTTTGGCCACATCACCTGTAGGATCTTTGTTCCTGGACCAGAGATTGAAAAAGTTCCCTCTGCAGTGGAAGAGCAGAACCTTAACCACTGGAGCCCCAGAGAAGTCTCAAGAAATACTTCTTAAAAGCTCTCCTGCCATCCCAAGGTGTTTGCCACCATTCAACACCAGTTGACCATGGGTAAAATGAAGGTGTCCTTAGTTGTGTCTGTAACTTACCAACTCTGATGTGGGTAGCAGGCTGCTCAGATCTCAGACACGATGGAGAGCCCAGGTGGTGCCTCTGGAGCTGGAAGATTCTGTATCCTTTCTTTGGTACTGGGGCTTTTATAGACCTTTTTAATCACATCTTATTCTTTCCTATTACCAACAGCCAATCAGAAAATGATAGCTGATAATGTTTCACACTGCCCCTCTGGTTAATCCTGATTGAGTCTTTGTCAATCTCCAGAGGAATGAATGGAATCAGATTACATTCAGGAAAGATAAAGAATGAGGGAAGGCTATTGACTTCAAAGGCTCCTTCCTAGGTTCATTCTAGAAATATTGATTGGGTTTTACCAATACAACAGAAGTGGCTGTGGGTGTGAGACCAGGAAGGAGTTATTAACTTGAGACAGCAGATAAGATAAACAAAACTTTAAAGCATCATTGGGGATCTTTGGCCATAAAAAATTATCAGAATGTCCAAGAATTAAAGCTACTTCACAAAGACAGTAGTGTTGTTCTGAAAAGAAACAAAATAAGCCATCCACTTATCAAGTGTCACTTAGATATTGTTTGACACATGGAGATCTGGAGTCTATTCAGGAAGGAAAGGGTTTGGGAGATGTGGTTGGTTTTCCAATCTTAGGTCAAGACTTCTCTGAAGATCAGTTCAAAATCACATTGAGAAGTAAGGGTGGAGGCTAGGTAGTTGGAACTAGGCATTCCAAAATAAAAAGTGTAACTCAAATATTGTAAAATGAATTTTCTTTTCCTCTCTCTTGGGGAAGAAGAGATTTAAAGCCTTTTCTCTGGGTTGTGTTTGTAAATTAAAGGGAGTGACTAAAAGGAAACTGTGTCACTTTTGAGGGTGTTTTCTCCCAGAAATTTGGTATTAGCACCACAAATTGGCTTGAAAACATTATTTGTTTTCACTTTAAAATTTTTAAGTGAAAAATTGAAACTGAGTGGGGCCCTGTGGGTCTCTCAAGCACAGAGGTCTTTCTGTCCCCCATTTCTTGTAGGCAAGACTTCAGCCTCCATGAGCTTACCTGAGTTCCCAGGGATGGATTCCAACAGTTGCTAATCAAGGGAGGATCAGGCAAGAAATCACCTGAGGAAAGATTAAAGGGACCTTAGAAGCTCATCAAGTTTAGGAGACCAGAACACCCTAAACCCTGCACACACCCTAATCTTATCAGAGACTCAGCCTTTGACTCACTGTTATCAAAACTCTCATCAAGTTCTCTGGGTTTGAGACACAACACATTTTTTGAGGCAGAAGCATGGTGTGTCTACCTTTGCCTGCCAAGGCAATAAAGCTAGGTTTTTCTACTTCACCCCAAACTCTTCCTTCAGGATTTCAATGCCATGTTGGAATAATAGCAGATCATGAGCCTATTAAGGGAGCAAAGGCAGTGCTTTTGGGGATATGGTTGGTTCCCTAGGGTTCAGTCATGGCTTCTCTGATGGATATCAGGTCAAAATCACAGTGAGTAATGAGGGAGGATTCAGGCAGTCTGGAGCAGGGCATTCCTAAAGGGACCCTGTGAATGACTCAAGACAGTTTAAAGTATGATTGTATTGTATTGTATTGTTTCCCCATGGTTGACTCACAAAATGCACAGTGTAAGAGCTGCAAGTCAAGTTTTGCCAACCCCATGGACTCCAGCACACTAGGCTCCTCTGTCTTTCACTATCTCCCAGAGTTTGTTCAAACTCCTATTCATTGAGTTGGTGATGTTATCCAACCATCTCATCCTCTGTCACCCACTTCCCCACCATCCTCCATCTTTACTAGCATCAGGGTCTTTTACAGTGAGCTGGTTTGTCACATCAGGTCAAAATATTGGAGCTACAGCTTCAGCATCAGTTCTTTCAATGAATATTCAGGGTTGACTACCTTTAGGATTGACTGGTTTGATCTCCTAGCAATCCAAGGGGCTCTCAAGAGTCTTTTCCAGCACCACAGTTTGAAAGGACTAGTTTCTCCACTATCATGCTCCCTTATGGTCTGACGCTTACATGTCTACTGGAAAAACCATAGCTTTGACTACATAGACCTTTGTTAGAAGAGTGAAGTCCCTGCTTTTAACACACTATCTAAATATGCCATAGCTTTTCTTACAAGAAGCAAGCATTCTTTAATTTTATGGCTGTAGTCACACTCTGCTGTGATTTTGGAGCCCAAGAAAAAAATATCTGCAACTGTTTCCACTTTTTCCCCTTCTATTTGCCATGAACTGATGGGAACATATACCCATGGTTTTAGTTTTTTGAGTGTTGCTTTAAGTCAGCGCTTTCACTCTCCTCTTTCATCTGCATCAGGAGGCGCTTTAGGTCCTCTTCAATTTTTGCCATTAGGATGGTACCATCTGCATATCTGAGGTTGCTGATATTTCTCCTGGTGACCTTGATTCCAACTTGTGACTCATGCAGTTCAATATTTTCCATGATGTACTCTGCATAGAAGTTAAGTAAGCAAAGTGACAATACAGAGCCTTGATGTATTCCTTTCCCAATTTTGAACCAGTCGACTTGTTCCATGCTCAATTCTAACTGCTGCTTTTTTACCTGCATACAGGTTTCTCAGGAGACAGGCAAAGTCATCTGGTATTCTCATCTCTTTAAGAATTTTTCACTTTGTCATGATCCAATCAAAGGCTTTCACAATAGTCAATGAATCAGAAGTAGATGTTTTTCTGGAGCTCCCTTCTTTTTCTATGATCCAGCAGATGTTGGCAATTTGATCTCTAGTTCTCTGCCTTTTCTAAACCCAGATTGTACATCTGGAAGTTCTTGATTTAGGTATTGCTGAAGCCTAGCTTGAAGCATTTTGAGCATTTCCTTGCTAGCATGTGAAATGAATGCAATTGTACTGTAGTTGAAACATTTCTTTGTCATTACCCTTCCTTAGGATTAGAATGAAAATTGACCTTTTCCAGTCCTGTGGCCAATGCTGAGTTTTCCAAATTTGTCAACATACTGAGTGCAGTCACTTTCCAGGGGCCTGGTATGTGGAACTGAAACCATTTATCTCAGACTGGTTCTTGAACCCATGTGCTGTCTCATGGCAACATTATCTTTTATAATTTTAAATAACTCAGCTTGAATTCCATCACCTCCATTAGCTTTGTTCATTTTAACCCTTTCTATAGTTCCCTTGACTTCACACTCCAGGATGTCTGTGTTCTAGGTGAATGACTGTACCATCATGGTTATCCTGGTCACTAAGATATTTTTTGTATAGTTCTGTGTGTTCTTGCCATCTCTTTTTAATCTCTTCTGCTTCTGTTAAGTCCTTACCATGTTTTGTCCTCTGTTATGCCCATCCTTGCATGAAAAGTTCCCTTGATACCTCCAATTTTTTTGAAGCAATCTCTAGTCTCTTCCAGT